CGAATGACTGTCGATGAAAACCTCCTCATCTTACCAAACATGGGTGTTTGAATCTAGCTGACCCCGGCGGGAACTGACTGGAACTGGTCACTGGCACAATCAAGCATCGAGGTGTATTGGGCACCTTGGACGTTTGACCCCGTTCGAAGGGCGTATGATCTGATGAACTGGACACCGGTCCCCAGCGGATTGCGGTTTTCACACACCGCCCCCCGCTGCCTTGCAGGTCAGGATTTGGTTAGCCGAAGACTCCTCAAGGAAATTCACCTGCCTTGGCCTGGGTAACCTGGCAGTATTCGGCCTACCCACAAATCGTGGAACGTTTCTCTTTTCATAAAGATTATTGTACCACGATTTGTTTGGCACACAGTCTGGATTCAGACGTATGTGAAATACAAATACACAGACAGTTGGCTAACTGGTTACAGTATACATAGTAGTATGTGGCAGGAGAATTTCGCAATAAAAATTACCCTGTATGAAGCGAACATTGAGCAAGGGTGAGCAGAGAAGAAATGTGTGCGTGTGTGAGTATGTATCACCACTGCCATATCGCAAAAGACAAGGAAAATCCTAAACGGGCGCGCTTCAAGAGGCTAACAGTCAGTTTCATTCGGGGGCGAGGGGGGCGGGGTGGATGGTTCGGAAAAACGTGATGTTGAAACCAAAATTGAGTCTTAAATCCCTAGCTTCCGTTAAGATTTACTAATCGGACATGTTGATAAAGGCCTGATTTTTTCGGAGGGGGGGGGCAAGGGTATTAGATTTTTCCATGGTTCACATATATTTAGCGACCAAAATCAATTTCAAATTATCTGGAGGGCAATCATACAACATGCATGAGTGAAATAGAATATTTAGTCCGATTCAGGCCACCAGTCAAAAAAGTGTTCGGAATGTGAAACCGCGGGGTAGAGTAAACTCAGCAAACTTGAACATGTGAGAGAAAAGCATTGTGAGTCCGCAGTGTGACCGGAAGGTGAAATACACCGAACAGATCTAGCCACCACCAATTCCGGCTGAATAATCAGCGCATTGCCAGTGAGTGTTCACCACGTTTGGTTTGAATCAGATTCTACCTGTCAATCTAGAATTGCATATGTTTTTCAAATTCCTTGCAGAAATGTCAGTTTCGATGGCATCGCTCACAATGCTGACAGTAATCTCTTACTTTGTTTTTTAGATAGATAGATAGATAAATAGATGGATATATAGATAGATAGATAGACAGATAGATAGATAGATAGATAGACAGATAGATAGATAGATAGATAGATAGATAGATAGATAGATAGATAGATAG